TATATAATATATATATTGTTTTATGCGAAATTTTATGCTGAAATTATTTTACCCAACTTCTCCAACCAAACGACCCAATCTTTAACGTGAACCTCAAAAGGTAAGTTTAGTAAGTTTCAGAATTAGAATTTACTTATTCAACGTGACAAAAAATTGTAAAGTAGTTTTGTGGGTAACAACATTTTCAGCCACTATATCAGATTCTCGATAGCTGGACAAAGCTGCTAAAAAAAAGTAAAAGTTGTCTAAAAGAGAAAGGAATAAAGAAAAGAGGAAAAGGAAAAGGAAAAGGAAAGGAAGAAAAGGAAAAGCTATTCATGAATTAAATGGGAATAAAGGAGAGCTTCAATTTTCTATTAGTAATTCTTAGTAGGCGTTTGGACATAAAAATTGTAATCTTTGAAAACAAAATACAATTCTGAGTTAAGTTAAAAAATAATACTTAAAATTTAAAATTATGTTTGGATATGAATTTCACATGAATTTTTTTTGCACTTTTGTGAGGGGGGAAGAAAAGAATTTCCGAAAAATTTGGTTTTTGAAAAACCCATTTTGGAAAAATTTTCAAGAAGTTACAAAATTTCATGGATAAAAACGTTTTTGAAAAAAAATATCCAGAAAAAAGAAAAATAAATGTACGAACAAATGGGTCTTAGTGGGCGTTTGGACATAAGAATTGTAAAATTCCAAAATAGGGGAAATTTTTTTTTCAAGTGAAAATGGTATTTGAAATTTAGAGTTGTATTTGGATATGAATATAATTTTGGGTTATTTTTGAAGTTTTGTGAGTGATTTGAGTGAAAATTTTGAAAAACAGCTTTTTACACTTTTTCAAATTTTCGAAAATTTTCAAAGTACATGTTCAAGTGAAAATTAAATATTTTATGAACACACACTGATTTCGGAAAAAAATAAAATTCTTTTGAAAAAAAAAAAAAAATTTTATGTCCAAACGGGCTCTTAATCTCTCCCGCCTCTTTTCTCTCTTTATGTTTGTTCTTTTCTTGAGTGTCACTCCAATAAAGAAGCATAAAGATGAACTCTCAATGTAAATTGCTAACCAATAAGAAGTCTAGCTTTAATGGCAAAATGAATGGTTCAAATAGCAGCAATGGGTAAGTACACATTTTAAATGAGATATACAGATCTTAGTTGATAGTAATTGAAAATTGAAAGATCCATGAGAAACACACCAAACGATATACTGACAGTAAAATATTTTATACAATCAATGTATTTTTATTTTTTTAAAATTTAAACCATCCACCCAGATTTTCATCTCCTGTAGTGTTACTGTTAGGGGTTTGACATTGACCCCTACCTGTTTATTCATTAGCAAAATAGTACAAAGGAGAGGGACATTTAAACCAAAACCTCCCATTGGAGCAGTGTCAACTACAATCAATGCATTTAAAAACCAGTTATATGTAATTTTCTATATTGAGTATAAATTGGTAACCTATACAAATTGGTAAATGACCTGATTTATTAGGTTGTAATTATGGTCAATATTTTGGCTAATGGAGTCCATCTCACATAAGTATAAGTATCTTTGCAAAATGTAGACTTTGTTGGCAATATTCTTTGGGATCCAAAAATATTGCATTATGTGTTGGACATCATTTGCACAAGTTGTATATCTTTTTTTTACACCTAAGAGGCCAAAACTTTTTTGCTTATAAAAGGGAAGGCTATTAGTTCATTTTAGACACACCAACAAGACTTGTCTTCAATTCTTGTTTCTTCCTTTATTAAGAGTGTTTTGTATGAGAGTTAGTATTGGGAAACACTTGTGTGAACCCTTTCTTTGGAGTGATCTTGTGAGGTTATTCTCTTAGGGTATTTGGGATTAATTAGAGTGTTTACTCTAATTTTGTACTCTCTTTTGTACTCTTATTGTTATAGTAAATTGCTCCTCTCCGCTTGTGGACGTAGGTCACTTTGACCGAACCACGTTAAATTTGTGTCTTCTTTATCTACTTTAATTACCGTTGTTATCAATTTCAATTGTCTTTATTATTATCATTATACCGTTATTTGGCTAAATTTTGCACCACCCGGGTTCCCGATCCTAACAAATTGGTATCAGAGCCGGATCTAACCGGGTTAGTTTCAATAGCCAAAATGATTCTAAGAAAGACCTATGTTGAGAAATTTGACTGAAGTGCAAACTTCGAAATGTGGCAATTAAAGATGGAAGCTATCCTAACTCAGGATGGCTTAGACTTGGCGTTACAAGGAAAGGAGAAGAAGCTGGATAAAATGACGGACGAGGAGTTTGCCATCGTAGACAAAAAGGCAAAAGCAGGTATCATTTTAAATCTCTCAAATGAGGTTTTACGTGAAGTTTCTGTAGAAACCACAACTAAAAGCATGTGGAAAAAATTGAAAACCTTATATATGAAGAGGACGGTAGAAAATAGACTTTGCTTGAAGCAGAAGCTTTATACAATTCGTATGGGTGAAGGTACCTCTATTCTCTCTCATCTTCACACCTTTGATTCCATTATCATGGATTTGAGTAATATAGATGCTGAAATTAAAGATGTGGATCAAGCTGTGTTACTGCTTTGTTCTCTACCCCCATCTTTTAAGCATATAAGAGATACTATGCTTTATGCAAATGATAATATATCTTATAAGGATATTAAATCTATCTTAAAATCAAAAGAACTGATAGATAGTGATATTACTGGGGAAGCTAGTGGAACTCAAGCGGAAGTTGGCTTGTTTGTTAGGGGCAAATCCGACTCCATATCTAGATACAATAATTTAGAGTGTCGCTATTGTCATAAGAAAGGTCACAATATCTCCGAATGCTATAAGTTGAAAAATAAAGAAAAGCATAAAGAAAGAAAAAATGAGCACAAAAATATTGACACTGCCGAAGCAAGTGTAGCTGCTGATGAGACTGAGGGAACTATTATTTTGCAACTAATAATAGTTTCAAATCTAACAATGAGTGAATTTTAGATTCGGATTGTTCTTATCATATGTGTCACAATCGGTATTTATTTACCACATATGAATTTATTTGAGGTGGAGTTGTCTTGATGAGCAATAATGTTGCATGCAAAGTTTTTGGAAAAAGTACAGTCCGAATCAAAATGCACGATGGTGTGGTGAGAATTCTCACTGCTGTCAGACATGTTCCTGACTTGAATAAAAATCTCATCTCTTTGAGCACTCTAGAATCTCTTGGGTGCAAGTACACAGGTGAAGGTAGAGTTCTGAAAGTTTCTCATGGTGCTCTTGTGATCATGAAAGCACACAGATCTGGTTCGTTGTATACTTTATTGGGATCCAATGTTATAGGCCTTACTACAGTTTCGGTATCCGATAACTTGTCTGATTTTGATGGCATTGAATTTTGACATATGCCCATTGGGGTTTTTGCGGAGAAGGTGGAGAAAATTTACTATATCAGCCAAAATTAGGCCAAGGTGAAGATTTGTAATTATGGCCAATATTTTGGCTAATGGAGTCCATCTCACATAAGTATAAGCATATTTGCAAAGTGTAGACTTTGTTGGCAATATTCTTTGGGACCCAAAAATATTGCATTTGTGTTGGACATCATTTGCACAAGTTGTATCTCTTCTTTTACACCTAAGATGCTAAGACTTTTTTGCCTATAAAAGGGAAGGCTATTAGTTCATTTTAGACACACCAACAAGACTTGTCTTCAATTCTTGTTTCTTCCTTTCTTCCTTTATCAAGAGTGTTTTGTATGAGAGTTAGTGTTGGGAAGCACTTGTGTGAACCCTTTCTTTGGAGTGATCTTGTGAGGTTATTCTCTTAGGGTATTTGGGATTAATTAGAGTGTTTACTCTAATTTTGTACTCTTATTGTTATAGTAAATTGCTCCTCTCCGCTTGTGGACGTAGGTCACGTTGACCGAACCACGTTAAATTTGTGTCTTCTTTATTTACTTTAATTACTGTTGTTATCAACTTCAATTGTCTTTGTTATTATCATTATACCGTTATTTGGCTAAATTCTGTCCCACCCGGGTTCCCGATCCTAACATAGGTAAAAACTACACTGAAGGTGTAAGAAATTTTTATATTGTCGGTGTAAATAATTTAAATCCAAGCTGAAAAAACATAGTAAAAGAGCTCTATTTTCATGATATTGGCTTTTATTGACAAACATTTGAAGGTGGACTATGGAACTCATAGAAGACACAGATTCTCATTTTCAAGCATTTTGAAGGTAAAAGATTAAATTTCCTCAGCTTTTCCTTGTACGAGCAAGCTTCTAGAGGAAAAGTAAAGTCTAAATTATATATATAAATGTGTGTATGTGTGTGTTAAATTATTATGCTTATTGACAGTATACCTGAGTAAATAAATTCACACATTTAAATCATGAAAGATACAAATCATAACCAGTCGTATTAAACATGCATCCCCATCCGCGCGCTTTTCAAAACTTGAGAAATTCAATTTTTCCTTTTAATTAATAGTACTAAATATTTTTATCACATTAATTCTTATTGTTGATATTTCAACAAGAAGATGTAAGAAGAACATCTTATCAAATCAAGTTGATTTGACAAACTCGAAGTCTTTATCCCAGTGTGTGTGTCTTAGCTAATCTATGTACAAAGTCAGCTCCAACATTAATGTAATAAATATTAATATGATGAAACCAATGTAAGTGATATCATTGATCCACTTGCCATTAAGGCATTAACCATCCATTTTTCAACTCTATTATTTTGTGCTTATATATCCCTTTTTTTCATTTTTTGAATAGTTATGCACATAATCATTCAACTTTCAGTTTATTGCTCATAAAACTAAATTTTACGGCAAAACGATAATTCAATCATCTCTATAAACCGTAGAAACTAAAAAGAACACCTAGAAAATATTAAATTCGAAACACAAGTATTTTTCTAGTAAGTACCAAACAAAAGTGGTATTTTTTTCTCTATTAGATTTAGCAAGAGTGTGATACAAATAGGTCTCTAACATGATCACTGCAATGGAATATATATGGAGGCCAAAACTAGGCTTTTTTTACTAGTTATTTTCAAATAAAAGCTGAAACACAACTGTGCCAAAATTAATAAGAGCAATCACTGCTAGATAGTTGAGTGATACTATGCATGTAATAGAGGAAACGAAAAGAATCAACTAAGAATATCGCTCAACTCACTCTCATTCTTTTTTTCTTTGGGCCAAATTACTAGGATAGCGGTGCAGTGCATAAAGTATTACACGTTCAAGCAGGGTCCGGGGAAGAACCGTATCTCAAGGAGTGTGAAGTAGGCAGTATACCCTAACGCAAGCATTAGTGACTGATTCCACGACTCGAACCCGTAACCTATAGATCACACAAAGATAACTTTACTGTTACTGAAATGCTCCCATCACTCTCATTCTTTAACCCGAGAACAAATTTGTTAATAATCGATTGCCTTTGAAAATCTCATATCTCCAAATAACAACCGAATTGAACATGACCACTGTACTCATCTGGAGTCTCTACTTTTGTCCAAACTCTTGGTTTTTCATTCATATCCAAAGCATAAACACTATGGAGTTCCTCAGATAATTCTGCATTTCCCACCAATATCAACTTCCCTTGACACGCTGTCAAATATGCCACGTTGGAAATCTGAGCTGGCAATCTTGCCAACTTCTGCCACGTTGCATGTTCCTTCACGACCACGTCACCGTCTTGGCACATGTACAATCGCCCATCATCACCTTCAGTGCAAGTATGAGGAGAATTATTAACACTCAAGAAATCATCTTCCAAACTCCACTGCCACGTGGCAAAGTCGAACACCTCAGCATTTTTCTCAAAGTGACCTTGTGCCAACGTAGGATAACCGCCAATGACGTGGAATTTACCTTCGTGAAATACAACCTTACATTCGTCTCTCTGCATCACCATGTCAGGCATTGCAACCCACTCGTCTTTCACGACGTCGTATAACAGAACCGACTTCAGCGCATTCTTCTCGTCGTCATGTCCGCCGGCGACGAGGATGACCTGATCGGAATCCGAACCGCATCCGAAAAACAACCTCTGCTGACCTGGCATATCCGCTCCGCGTCGCCACGTCCCGGAGATGAAGTTGTAGATGAAAACACAGTCCATAACCCGCCAAGTAACCGGATCACACCCGCCAATCACTAATAAATCGGATCCAACTCCGACAATCCGGCAAAACTTCGGCAACCCGTCAATCAACTCCGGAATCGGTGGCAAATCGTACCAACAGCCGTTTTCCGGGTCAGATATGGAGAGACGGTAAATTTGGGTAGACGAGAGGGTAGTGTCACCCTGAGGCTTTTTTACAGTAGCAACCATAGCTTGGACCATGGATAAAACGGGTCGGGCCAACCCGGAAGTTGTCCGCCGTTTTCGAAACTCCGGCAGCATAATCTCGCCGTTCCAGGTTTTGCATACTGAAGCTGCTTTAGAGAACTGGTCAATAGGAAGTCGTATGAGACATTCAAGTGCTAAATCATTAGGTAGCCCTGGGATCAGGTCCATGGCTTTTGATTTGTATGATGAATATTGCTTGCAAACTGTGTAGTTTCAGAAGAAAGTGAGGCCAAAGTTAAGAAATTCCGAAGTTGATTTAGTTGGGTTTTTTCAGTGTTGTAAGGAGGGAAATGTGAGTGGATAAATAAAGAAGAAGGAAGGACATAAATTATGAGTCATGGTTTCAGAAAACCGTAAGCGGATGTTTTTTTATACTGATTTGCGCATGAATTGACAATATATAGGGACAAAACTGAGTTTACTTTTGGAAGAAATAAGCTAAGTATCCGTCCCCAAACGGCTTAAATTAAATATAACTAAGATATAAAATATATATATATACTGANGGGGGGGGGGGTCAAGTTGTGCATCTCTCACAGATTGACAAGTAGGGCAACTTTGGTTATTACGGTTATAATCAAAATTAAAATTGCTGGCTATTAATAGAGGGTTAGAGGTCTATAATGTTAGTGAAGTTATTTCGGTTGTTCCGTGCCTTGATATCATTAAGACATTAACCATTACGTTAGCTGCCTATTTGCTTGGTTTGACAATTGTTTTCGACAAAAAATTATCCACTTTAGGTGTTTATGAAACTATATAAATATATTATATGTTCAATAATAAATTGAGATAAAAATATATATATTTATTAAGTATGACTAAGCAATTAATTAAGGTGAATGTAGTAGATATATTTTAATTATTGATTGATTTAAATATCGAATATGGGTAAAAGATATCCAAAGGTTTGTTAGTCTTAGTCTTCATAATTATTTCATGTTTATGTTTGCAATACATACCATCTGACCCCGTTTGTTACTGTTTACTGATGGTCACTAACGGTTTTTATTAGTCTTAGTCTTTCATCATTTATTTAATATCTATATATTTGGAATACATCCTTTTCTGACCCCGTTTGTTACTGTTTACTGATGGTCACTAACGGTTTCTTATTAGTCTTAGTCTTTCATCATTTATTTAATATCTATATATTTGGAATACATCCTTTTCTGACCCCGTTTATTATTGTTTACTGCTGGTCACTAAGGATTTCTAGTCTTAGCAGATGTTTGGACATAAAAATGTGATTTTTGAAAAAAAATAATTTTTAGAATTAAATTGAAACAATGTATTTAAAATTTAAAATTATATTTAAACGTGCATTTCACGCGAAAAACTATTGTTGTTTTTGTCGGGGAAATGAAACTTTACATGAAAAAAAGTAGTAAAATCACTTTTTCAAACTTAGAAAGTCATGCTCAATTTTTTCTTCTTCAAGAATTCAGTTCAATGTATAACCAAACTGTTATAATTCTGTATTGCTGTAATAAACAATTAAACTTTCTGGAAAAACAAAACAGAAAGTTAGTAATACTTGTTTAACGAAATAGATTCTTGAAAACAAAAAACAGTATAGGAATAAACCGAGCCCACTGAATACACAGTGTGTCCTTAAGGAAATTAGTCCCCTCAAGCACCCGAGGTGCTGGAATATATCCTCACAAGATAGAATGATTTAACTCACCGGAGTGTTGGTACCAAAACGCCGGTAAACAGCGAGCCACTCGAAGGCTGTAAAACACACTGGAATTTATTGTGCAGAAGAACAAGAAGAAGAAGCTCAGAAAATTTCGTAAGAAAAGATTCTGGGATTCAAACTCTATTTATAGAGTTGCTGGCATTGTTTCTGAAAAGGTTTGCAACCTTTCAGAAACAGCCATGGCTGTTGGAAAAGGGTTGTTTGAAATATTGCGGGAAAAATGTATTTAAAATAATCCGAAAAAGAAAACGGGCCTGACCGAACCGGGTCGCGGGTCATGGGTTATTCCGGATTAAATTTTTCGTTAATTAATTAATTAATTAATTAAATAATTAAAAGGAATTTTGTGCAAAAAGATTAATCAATCAATCGATCTTTGACCAAATCCGAAGCCGAAGCCGAGCCGAGTGAGCGACGACGACGACGGCGCGAGGCTTGCCTTTTTCTTAACACTTTAAGAGTTAGAAGAAGAGCAATTATATATATACCCATCAAAATCCTTTTCTTCCTCCGATATGGGACAATGTCCCTTTGCCAAAGGGAAACTCAACTATTTTATTTTTCCTCCATTTCTCATTCACCCTCTTTAAACTACACAAGTTTAAAATCCCAACAATCCCCCACATAAATGGGGAATGGCTATAGAATAAAGGAATGCACGGACGTGTGTGTGTTTTACATGCAAGAATTAATTGCATCTGGATAAGTAGGTTTCTCTTTGAACTTTCCGTAGTGAACTTATATCGGATATACTCGGTCCATCGTTAGATTTGATATCTTTGAACCGTCGAGCTTTGTTGTATACCTAGACAACATAAGTCACACAATCAATCCTTAACCATTTATGGTTCTCACGGTTGTGTTCGTTTCAGCCATGAACACTGCATGGTTTCATGAGTGCTTAGAGAATGAGCATTTACTTTCATTCCCCTTGAAGCGGCTTACACTTCACACTCACATAAGTGATTTTTAAACGTGTAATCCTGTAGACACATTATCTGGTCATATCTTGCCAGACTTAACAAATCATTAAAAAAAATTTAAGCTTTGTTGACTCATCAAAAAGCCTTAATGCTTTACCTCGATTTCTGAACATTGTCTTCATTACGAGAATGGGTTGAGTTATTTGACAATGTTGAACCGTCATTCATAGCTTTGTTTGATCTCTTTGAACCTAGCTCATGGGATCTCTAGTCTGCTAGGTAGAGTTACTGTCATGATGACTTGTCCTAGACCTTAACCCCATTCCCTTGGATGATCTTTTAACTGCCTCTCTAGATAGGCCTTTTGTAAGTGGATCCGACACGTTATCTCTTGACTTTATGTAGTCAATTGTGATAACACCACTAGAGAGTAGTTGTCTAACGGTATTGTGTCTCCGCCATATATGACGAGATTTTTTGTTATACATAATGCTCCCTGCCTTGCCTATTGCCGCTTGACTATCACAATGTATACAAATAGGTGCCAAAGGTTTGGGCCAAAATGGAATATCTTCCAAGAAATT